GAGAGAGAGAGAGAGAGAGAGAGAGAGAGAGAGAGAGAGAGGACTTACTGACCGCCTTGTTGACAATGATCGTTTGTATGCTGAGGATCTCGAGGGGAGATGTGTTGTGGACGTGCTCTTTTTGTTTTTCCTCTTCTGCTTGGGGCCGATTTGTTTTGCTGTATGTATGGGTTAGAAATCCAATGGACGTGTTGGAAGCACGTGGCACATGGAGTGGCCTTCATTTGGATCGCAAGTGGGCTTTGTCGCTAATCCGACCACAATCGAACTTCAATCAAACATCAATCATACTGCAATCAAAGTGCAATCAAACTTCAGTGAAGTGAATGAATTAACACACGATCCAGCTGGAGACATGTCCCTAGGGCAACCGTCTACACGCTTAAGATAGGTAGGTTACCAGGCCGGTCGATTGATCGATTGATCGATTTCCTCTCATGGATTGATTGGTCCATTAGTCGATCGAGCGACTGATGGATTTGATTGCCTGATTGATAGGTTGATTGATTGATTGATTGATTGATTGATTGATTGATTGATTGATTGATTGAGATTTCTCTGGCTCTCTGAAGGATCAAGCGGGCTTTCTGCGAGTTGGGCCCATCTCTTCCACTCCCCCCATCTCCTCCTTTCTTTCCCTTTTCCTCCCCTCCTCCTTCTCCCCTCCCCTCCCCCCCTCCTCTTCTCTCCCCCGTCTTCCCACCCTCCTCCTCCTTGAGCTCTTCCTATTTTCTGTTGTCGCCTGTAATCATGCGCGAAAACGGTTTGTGTTAAAATCAACTTCTTCCCATGCCATCTATCGATTTACATAGACAAGCGCGGAATCCCAACCCCCTTTTTATCATCCTTGTATCTGTTCACTGGAAGCGTACGGTTCACCGAGGGCATCACAAGGACAATTCCAGCAATGATGATCAATCGAGCAGTGGAGGAGTGGAGGAGCAGTGGAGGCTCTCAAGAGTCAGAGCGGTGGAGGCAGCAGGATCTTCGCGCCTTTTTTTCTGCAAACTGGCGGGGCCGCTTGTTTTGTTTTGACGGCTGCGTTAATTGCAGGGAGGACCCAGGATCTTCGCGCCTCTTTGTTTCTGCAAACTGGCGGAGCCGCTTGTTTTGTTGTGACGGCTGCGTTAATTGCAGGGATGTCCGGCGTGTAGTCGTTGAGGGGTGGTGTGATGCAAGCCCCTTGGCGCGTATACGAGTGTTCTCTGTGACAGTAGAGAATTGTCGGTTGCTCAATCGAGCCCCACATAAGATTCAATTAATCACAAGCAATTCTCTCGCCTGTGCAATACACCATTTAATCAAGAAAATGTATGTGGTGACCATACTGTAAATAAATATACTATATATTTGCCGCTCGCTCTGTCGAGCCCTACACGGTTCATTCAAGCAAACGGATTCTCTCCGCCGTGAAAGACCACATTCAATCAAGCAACTCTCTGTGACGATACAGGGCCTCGCCGCATCACTCCCCGACTGTTGAAAATGAGAGTGAATCTTCCCATAGAACGTGGAGAGATTCTTCCTTCATCTTTGTTGTTGTCTTTTGTGCACTTGGTGAGTGGTGCGGCGAGGCCCTTACTTACCTTTTGATTGGTCGATCCAGTCTCCAAAGAAGAAAAAAGAGAATTGCGAACGAAACGGTCTTTCCCATTCTGAGCAACACTGGGTCACAGTTGCAGTGGTAAAGGCATCCGCCTGTTATGGGCGAGGTCACCGGTTCGACTCCGTCTAGCTGCAGGTCGATCGGCTATAAAACTGAAACTCCGAACGGAACACCCCGCTTTGCTTTATCCTTCTCTCTCTCTCGTTCTTCCTGCGGTCCTCTGGCCAGCAGTCCTCTATGTGACACCACCACCATAGAGGCTAGGTAGCAGAGCTTCCTTGGATGTGCGGGGGTGAGGATGAGCCGACCTTCCCCCCCCCTCCCCCTGAACACCCCCCTTCGCTTTATCCTTCTCTCTCTCTCTCTCTCTCTCTCTCTCTCTCTTTCTTCCTGGGGTCCTCTGGCCAGCAGTTCTCTATGTGACACCACCACCGTAGATGCTAAGTAGCAGAGCTTCCATAGATTTGCCGGTTGTGAGCATGAACCGACCTTTCCCCCTCTCCCCCTCTCCCCCTCTCCCCCTCTCCTCCCTCTCTTTTCCTCCCCCTCCGTTATGTTGAAGCTTTGTTTCTCTCTTTCTTGTCGATTTTCCTCTGGTAGATTTCTTTCCCCCCCCTTTTTTTTGGGGGGGGGGGGGGGGGGGGGGGGGGGGGTCAGTACGTTTCTTGTCAAGTCCCCTCCAATAGATTTCTTTCCCGCTTTTGAAGCTTTTTCTGCTTCCGACTTTTTTTTTCTTTCTGTCTTTGTCCTTTCGAGTTCTCTTTGTAATTCTTCAATGATGCATTGATTGATCGATTGGATTGGATTGATTGGATTGGATTGATTGATTGATTGATTGATTGATGATTGATTGAGTGATTGATCAGTTACAGCAATGATTTTTAGACGTGTATGCGTCAGAGCGAATTGGACCGTTTCAATGTTTTGCTTTGTCCTTTGCTTCATGTCTGACCTTCGTCTCTCTCTCCCAGTGCGCCCTCTTCCATAATTGGCTTTGTCCCCTGCTCCCTTTCTTCCTCTATGGTTGGTCCTCCGCCCCAGTTCTCTGTGGGACCATATCTCTATCTCTCTGTTCTCTCTCTCTATATCTGTTTTCTTACTCTGAAAGAAAATAGTGTCTCGCGTAACGGTCCCACGGGAGGCCTGGCCCCCAGTGGTGGGAAAATGCTGCGGGGAAGCGCCGCGCACGGCCCGGGCTCAGGCGCGCCAGGGGCAGGGGCCCAGGGCAGTCCGAAATCTCTTCCTTCCGTCCGTCCTCCAGTTGCCCGCGCGCCCCCTCCTCTTCTTCTTCTTCTTTCTTCTTTTTTTCAAGGGCGACGGCCCTGAGATATGACCATTGCTCAGGGTAATTCTGAATTACCAACTGATCGGCCCTCGGTAATTAATTCAGAATTACCCAGGTACTTTCCTCCTCTGCGGCCAGTGGAGTAGGAACTCAGCACCTGGTCTGTATATTTCAACAGTTCAGTCCAGGGG